AGAGTGATAAAGAATGTTAAAAAGTATTAAAATCATTCACAATACCATAACAATATAAAAATAAAGAAAATAAATTATTACTTTGTGAGCACATGATTTAGTTTCTTACTTTCATTCACCAAATTCGTGTATTTACATTGAGTTTTTGAGTACAAATTTTACATGATATATATATATATATATAACACTAGTAAGAAACACTAATTTAACGGGTATTAATCAATTTAGTTATGGACAACCTCAATCAGAAGAATTAAAGAGATAAACAAATACAACAGAAAATATACTCAAATATTGCCAAGCAAAATTGGGACCAAAATAAATTTACTTACTATGGAAAAGAATGATATGACATATAACTCTACGAGACAAAAAAAAAAAAAAAAAAAAAATAAAAAAAAAAAAAGATGTGATATTATGAAAAAAAAAAAAAAAAAAAAAAAGATGTGATATTATGAAATAAAAATTCTAAATAACAACCATAATATTATATATCTTGCAAAAAAGAAATAAAATTATAAACTGGAATAAGGGAAAGCCTGCCATGAATTTTATATATTGGCAATAATTTAACAAATTTAAACTTTCAATATTTTCAGTTTCATAAAAAATGAAATAAGATATAAAATATAATTACAAACAATAATTTAAAATGAAGGTTGTCTAATTGAGTTTTTGCGTATAAAAGAGTACCACTATCATTTAACCCAATCTTCTAGAAAATGCGCCAAAACATTATTGAAGAAGCCAACGTCCCGAGTTTCTACATTACAAAAGCTGCTGGATAAGTAATAATAAGAAGGTGAACATTGAGTAATAATAGTCCTCGTAGAAGTTATTTTAGCCCTCGTAAATTGGCTAATCATCACAAAAGGTTACCTGATTATATAGTGTAACTAATAAATGCGATAGATAAAATTTTCAAAAATTTCAAACGTTTTATCTATAAGATACTATCAGATTTATAAAGTAATATCTATTATTAAATGGACATAATTATTACTTTAAAAAATATTTATGCAAAGCAAAAAAGTTCAAAAATTTCTAAAAGAAAAGAAAAATAGAAAACTCAAAAAGTAGAGTGCCATGTCAATTTTTTTTTTAAATTTTTTTTGCTTTAGGATTATATATATACTAGGTGAAAGCCCGCGTTTTACACTGGTTGCTTTGATAATTTATAATTCATAAATACATATTAAAAATTTATTTTTCTAGCAAATTACTTTATTGTTAAACATTTAATTTTATAAATTGTATGTAATATATTATTATATAAAAGATTTATTTTTCCCAGGGATTACTTTATTAAATTATCGTGTTATAGAAATTTTAATAAATTTTCATGTTATAGAAATTGTAATGCCATTAATTTAATTTAAATAATTATAAAATTTGATGAATGATATCTAGATTTTAGTTAACGTTTATCTTATCAGATAAAGTTTTAAGATTCAAATCATTCAATATGGATAATATATAAATAAATAGTATTTATTATTTAATTATTTAATAATAAAATATGGATAATCATATAAGATAAATAGTATTGTATTATTTAATTATTTAATAATAAAATAATTTAATATATTTCTGATATTATTAATTCTATCGAAACATAGAAAAACAAAAGAAAAAAAATTTAAAAAATTCGTTACACTAAATATATATCTCAATAAAAAAAATTTAGTTACGAACTTGACATATATATTAACTTAAATGATTTTAAAAAATAGATTAAGTAGGAGATATAGTTATCAATATTTCTATGAAACATAGAAAAACAAAGAAAAAAAATTTAAAAATTCGTACACTAATATATATTAATCTCAAATAAAAAATAATTTAGTTCGAACTTGATATATATAACTTAAATGATTTTAAAAATAGAGTTAAGTAGAGAGATATAGATATCAATAATTTAAAATTTTTCAAAGCGTAATTATCTTAAATAAATCTAAAATTTCTAATAAAAAACTAAAGAGATATAGAAAAATTTGAAAAATGAAATAGAGATATAGATAATGGAAAGAAAAAATGAAAAATTTTCAAAACATAAATATTATATACAGAGCTTTTATTATGACTCTTTAATACATGAAAAAATAAATTATAAATTTAACCTAAAAATTAATCAAATTAATATTCCTATTCTTTAATCAATATATAAAAAAATAATTTTTAATGTTTAAGTAACTTCTTTTATTTAGTTTATTAATGTCAATTTATTTTTGCTATAATATTCATGTCACTTTATTTTTGCTATAAAAATATAAGACTGAGTCAGTAAAATAAATTTTCAATAAAAAAAATAAATTCAAATATAAATAGAAGTAGAATAAATGACAAAAAATCCATCTCAATTAAAAAATTCGGATTTTTGGAATAGTAATCTGAATATAAAAGCTCAGCTTCAATTTACATGCCAATAAATATAGTGTACAATACATGTAGTGTATAGTAAAAAAGCAATAGAATATATTTAGTTGATCTATTTTTCTAAATTGATACAACATTTAGTTTTTACTACTCTCTCAGATTCTGCATCTAATGCACTTGTAACCTCATCTAACAGTAATATCTTTAGACTCTTCATTATGGTGTGAGCTATGGCTACTCTTTACTGCTGTCCCCCGGATGCGCTCCCCTACCAAAGTTTCGTACCCCTGCATTTTGGATGGACGTAGCAATACCAATTGCTTAAGAAAAAAATAAGAACAAAAAAGAAACATTAATGATTATTTTTCAAAGAAAACTTTTGGTTGGCCAGCAAAATGAAATTATCCACTTCTTTTTTATTTACTACATGATCAATATTAATTAACAAAAAAAATAAAAATAAAAGAAACACAAAAACCACAGTAAGAAAGATCTGTTTAATCAACGCTAAACATGATATTAAAAATTACCAGGAGAGGAAGACTTTCAAAAAACAAAAACTTGAAAGAGACCTTTAACTTCCAACAAAGGAGTTTCAGCAGAAGATGAGATATTAGAAAATAGATACCACTATTTATATATTAATTTAACATATAGATAGTTAGAACAAAATAACAAAATAAGATTTTTAAAGTCATAAATAATTTATAATAACTAGTTTGTAAATTATTAAACCGAAAAAAAGAGAAAGAAATACATTAAAAATGCAGAAATTTTGTAAAAAAAAAAAAAAAAAACACAAATGCTGAAAAAGTGGAGCTCCAAGTTAGCATTTTTAGGATATTTTTTCCTTACTTGGAAGTCTTTTAAATTTGGAGTTGCATAAGAAGCAATGGTAAGCTTAACCCAATAGAGAAAAAGTTGAATTCCCAATGGCTTTTCTTGCAGATTTGTTCAACTACTTCTTATAGGTTTGGATTTAGAAAGAGCAAATTCACAAGTAAGTAGCCAATTAGCCATAGGCCATAGCAGATCCAATCTCGGGAATCTTTTCATGTTTTTTAAATTGGATGAGGACGATGAAGAAGACGATCACTTGCCAGGTGGGAGCGAGGACAAAAAGTTTAAGACATTAGCTAAGAAAATATTAATTAATTACTCCTTCTATCAAAAAATGTTTGTTCTATTATAATGTTATAGTGTATAAGGTTATGTTTCAAAAATTCAGTTCTTTCGTTTTAAAGAATTGAAACTAGAACTGAAGAACTAAAAGGTAAAAACGGTATCGAATTAGATTTTCAGTACGATCTTTCATTTTTTTTATTTCAATTATTTGATTTTGGTTTCGATTTCAGTTCCCCCACTGAAATTTATTTTAGAACACATTATAATTTTCCTTTATATTTTTTTATTCTAATATCAAAAAATAATATTAAAATATACGTTAATTAAAAAAAATCAAATCATGCTAGAATAGAAATTAAAAATAATGGTAAATATTATATAAACATTAATGAATTAACAATGTGTCGCTTGTAATTAAAATATTTTTGTTTAAATTATAGATATAGAAAAACACGATATAAACATTTATGAATTATCGTATTATTAAAATAACGGGAATGAGATATTAATTCTTATGTGAGGTAAATAATTTTAACTTATACCCCAGTTGTATTATTAATTAAATAGTAACTAATAAAAATTTTGTAATAAAATTTGGCATCTGCCATAAGTAATATAATATACTAAAAGATTAAAGAAAAAATATATGTATGAATCAATTTTTCGATTCGATTCAATTCAATTGGTGCGATTTTATACTAGATTCGAAATAATAAATTATATTCGGTTCAATATAGTTTAACTCTTACTGTCTTAATGCTTTTTTGTTTTCCATTCAGTTCAAAACGATTTCTGATTCAATTCTGTTCTCACAGGAACAATGCACAACTCTAATAGTATTTGATCATAAAAAGTAACCTTACTTTTAAAACTTATCATTTTTAAAATACAATAATTATTCCTCAACATTTGCATCACAATCAGTTATTACGAGAGACATAAAAGGAAAAGGCTTAACTGGCAAATATTTTAAGAGATTTAAAAATAAAAATATAGACAAATATTAATTATTTTATAATAAAAAATCATAACATATTTTTTTCCTGTTTTTTATTTTCAATTCCTGTCGCTTTGTGATTTGGATTGATGTGATGAAAGATATAAAGAGAAAAGAAATTGGCAAGAGAACTTTTTCTTTTAATTATTTGTTCTGGGAATAACAAAAATACGTGTCGCAGAAGTAAGTTATAGGTCCATCGGCCATGTACTATTTCTTTCCAATTTAAGAAAATAGTAGAAAAAATTAAGCAAAATTATATATATACATATAATATAAAGTGAAGATTAAACTGAGCTTTACTATTTTTCTTTCCATATATATATTAAAAAATAAAAATTCTTCAAAAAAAGTATTTTTTAAGTTTTTCTCTTTTTAGTTTGTTTTTATATTTCTTTCCTTTCTAATTTTTTTAATCCAAACATAGTATAAAATTTTAAAATTGTAGTAGTTGGAAAAAAAAAATAGGAGCAATTACATGACAAGACAATGAGACAAACAAATCAGTGGCTATGATAATTCAATCATTAAAGAGAGGGCTAATATGAAAGTACGGATCTGTATATCATATATCTGCAAAATTTTTGCTCTGACTGCCAAAATAAAGGCCACTGTTCTGTTTGTGAGCATCTGAAGTGAAGTGTTGAGTGTTTGTGAGCATCTGAAGTGAAGTGTTAAGTGTTAACTGAGCTGTTTCTGTGTTTCCTTTTCCTCTCCAGTTCAAAATGATTACCTGGGTTTGTGTTCTTTCTCTGTGCCTTTTGCTTCATTGCTAGTATATCTTTACTGGGTTGCTGGGAGCTATTGGGTTCTTGAAGGATTTTGGTATTATCACTTTGTTGGCATTGATTTTAATATTTAAACAGTGCTTTTGGGTTTATTTGTTCAAGAAAGCTGATTTTTTTTTTTTTTTTTTTTTTTTTTTTTTTTTTTGCTGGGAGCTATTGGAGTTCTTGATAAGGATTTTTGATTATCACTTTTGTTAGGCATTGATTTTAATATTTAAACGTGATTTTGGGTTTATCTTTTCGATCGTCAACGAAAGTTGATTTTTTTTTTCTTTTTTTGTTTTTTTTTTTTTTTTTTTTTTTTTTGTTGTTCTTTTTAAAAAGTTGATCTTAATATTATTTCTTGAAGTTGGGATTGGTTTTGATTTTATTTTCTTTTTAATTCTGTTCGGTTAGGATCATTTGAGTTAAAACCATAGATGCAATGTGAGTGAGAAACCATTTGAATTGAGTTGCAAAATGGACTCAAGAGAAAGGAATGATTTTGAAGAATCTGATTGCAAAAGCAGAATCTGGGCCTTGGATCAGAAGCTGGATCAGTCCATGGATGCAGAAGCCTTGAAGCTTAAGAACAAATATGAGGAAAAGGTATTAACTGAAGCATTTTTATTTTCCATAAATTTTATTTTATTTTTTTTTTAACTTTAGTTAGTATAACCGTCTTTTTTTTTTTTTTACCGTCCTTTTTTTTTTTTGTACATTGATTAAAATTTAAGATGGCTAAAATTTGAAAATCCTGTCAAAAAAAAAAAAAAAAAAAAAAAAAAAAAAGGAAAGGAAAGGAAGAAATGCAAGATAAGATATTGAAAGTGTATTTTTCTAGATTTCAGTTAGAAAAAAAAAAAAAAAAAAAAAAAAAAAAAAAAAAAAGGAAAGGAAAGAAGATGCAAGATAAGATATTGAAAGTGTAATTTTCTTAGATTTCAGTTAGATAATTAAAAGATGACATAAAAAAAATGATGGAAAGGAGTTTGGGATGTCAATGACTGAGATTATGAGCCGTTGATTATTCTGGCATGCTATATATTTGATGTTATTTCAAGATAAAATCCAATCTCAACAAGGCGAGGAGATTCCGAAGTTAATAATGTCATATGATTCTCCAAATTTGTTCTGTTTGCTGATTTGGTTTTCGTTTCTTTCAGAGATCTTCCACCTCATTGATTTTGCGCCTCGCATTCCAAAGCCTTGGCGTAGTCTATGGAGATCTAGGCACTTCTCCCTTGTATGTCTTCTACAATACATTTCCTGATGGAATTGAAGATCCAGAGGATGTGATTGGGGCTTTGTCATTGATTATATATTCCCTAACTCTTATTCCGCTTTTGAAGTATGTTTTTATTGTTTGCAGAGCAAATGACAATGGTCAAGGTAAAGCAATTTGAACCTTTAACTTGCTTTCTGGTGTTGAATGTTTTTGGAGCTATTGATAAATGTTACCATTTGTGCCACATGGTGTTTGCAATTTCATATATTTAGAAGGTTCTTTAACCTCTAATGTCCTGACCCTAGAGTACAATCAACTTTCTTTTTCTCAAATGGACTTACAGATTTCTAAGATTCTTTTTATGGCCTGTGTTAAAGTGCTTATCAAAATAACTTCTCCACATCTTGATCTTTTCCTCCTCCATCAAATTTTGTTTTCCTTATCTTTGACTATTTGACTTAATTCCATACATTTCTCTCCTCTTCTCTGCATCAAGTTGTAGAAATACCTATGCTTTTTTAATTATCAAGACTTTGTTCTATCTCAGTAACTGTATCATTTGTGTCAATTTATACAATTCATGAACAACCTCCATTCTGGTAATGGTGGATTTTGGAACATTCTTATTTGTGCTTGATTGCTCATTTCATCTTCCAATCCCATCAGCAAGTTTACTTTGATGGTACTTTACTGCCTTTCCATTTACATCAAACTTCTGCAATAAGTTTTTGTAACCATCTGCCAAATTTTCATTTTAGTCAAAATTCCATTTTTTTGACTTGTAATTGCTGAAACTTAAAGTCTCATGGTTCTCTCTTCTTAAATTCCACTACCCATTGCTGTGTCCATGGTTGCTTTAAGCTTTCTTGTTTACTCTTTAATGTTTACAAACTACCAACTTATGTTTACATGACTGCCTCCCCAGTATCCTTGTATCCTGTGTTAACGTTTCATTAACTGAATAGATGTGGCTCATGGTGAATTTCTATTTGAAAAGAAAAAAAAGTATTTATCGATATATGTAAGAATATCTTTCTATTTTATAACAAAAAGCATAAAAGGAGTCTTTTCGCTCTTTTAGCATTCTATTCCCTTTGATGATACTGTGTCCTTAGGTCTTCTACTTTTGTTGGTAGCATAACAAAGTGGTACCTGCACTTTGAATGTGGCTTAGCTATTCTTGAAGCTGGTATTGCTTGCAAGCATCTCTAAACTTGCCTAATTTTAGTGCAGGTGGAACATTTGCTCTTTACTCACTACTTTGCCGACATGCTAAAGTAAAGACTATTCCTAACCAAGATCACACTGATGAAGAGCTGACAACATACAGCCGCTCAAAAATTCATGAACAATCATTTGCTGCAAAGACCAAGAGATGGTTGGAGGGACGTACAATCTGGAAGAATGCACTTCTTGTTCTTGTTCTTGTTGGCTCCTCCATGGTTATTGGAGATGGAATTCTCACTCCTGCTATATCAGGTTCCTTTCTCATGCTCTAAATTGAGACCCAATTATCTGTCCTTAATGGCTGTTTGACAAAACCTCCACGCGGCATTGCTCCGTCAGGCTTTCGACCATTGCGGAAAATTCCCCACTGCTGCCTCCTGTAGGAGTCAAGGATGATGCATACAAATTTTTTGAGTAAAAAATCTGCTAAAAAACTAACCAAATAACTTTGAATGAAATAGAACAAAATAGAGGCAGAATTTTTTTTCCATTTTGCACCTTTAAGTTCTTTCAATATTTTTGTTACGGAGCTGCTGTACTTTTTTTTTTTTTTTATTTAGGATAGTTTTATTTACAATCATGTTTCTGTTTTTCTCATGTGCAGCTAACAAGGTGGGAATTAGGGTCTATTCCACAATATTAGCTGTTTTATAGCTGTTAGTTGTTTTAGTAGCTATTAGGTGTTGGTTGTTGGTTGTTTATATAGCGATTAAAGCCAAAATATTCGATAAAAATAGTTATTTAATTAGCTGTTAAATTTAAAATGACAAAAAAAGTAAAGGGAACAATTTTATATTACAAGTAGCACTTGTTTATTTGTAAAAAAGTAAAAGGTGTAAGTTTCACAAAAAATTATCCATTAATTATTGTGAAAAGTTAAGCGTTAAGTGAAATAATGTTTCATTAAACGTTCTCTTAACCTTTAAAAGCTACTATATAGATCACCTTACCGAGCACTATAACTAATAAAAATTGTATTTTGACCCAGTCAAAATGCTAAAAGTTACATTAAAATTTGTTGCCAAACACAACCTTAGTTTCTTTATTAATGGGTTGTGGTTTAAGCAAATTCTTTATTGCAATGTGTAGTTATTAGCGGCTAGTTATTACAGTGGGAAGTGGGTTGTTTTATCTTTGCATTTAGGTTCGTGTAATGAGTAAAAATGTAAGCACAATTTTAAGAGAAGCTTTTGAGTCCTAAAACTCAGAGATTATAGAGTTCTCGATTTAACGAGCTCTAGGAGACTGCAAATTCTCTCTAAGTCTGTATTTCTTAGATTCCAAGGTCAATTTTACTGAGGTCTACATGTAATATTTCCTCTCTTTCTAAATTTCTTTATCTGAGTCTTGTTTTAGCGAGTGGAACACCCCTGGCATGAACTCAAGGATTGTTGTGCTTTTTAATTGAGGACTTTGAGTCAGTCATTTTTGTTTCAGATGGAGAAACTCCTTGTATAGGAGAGTAAGAGCAAAGACTAAAAGCAACAAAAGGTTGGCACCATGACCCTCAGGAAATGTTTGAAATGTTGTTGCCTGTTAATGCTTGAAAACTAGCTCTAAGGATACTCATAGCATATTTCATTCTAGTTTTGTTAATATTTACTTTAATACGTCTTGGGTCGTCATCATTCTTTCTTTACTTTCTTTGGCAGTACTATCAGCAGTTGAAGGAATTAAATTAGACCACCCCAAGATGACCAGTGGTATCTTCTCAGTCCTGAATCTGAATGTTTTATTGTCTTGCAATCAACTCCATTTTTGGTTTAGAGGCCTTAAACAGTTCCTTTTTTTTCCCGTGAAACAGATGTAGTTGTTTTTGTTGCTGTTGTGATATTAGTAGGCTTGTTTTGCATGCAACACCACGGTATAGATAGGGTTGGTTGGCTCTTTGCCCCTATTGTGCTACTCTGGCTTCTCTTGATTGGAGGCATTGGTATATTCAACATTTGGAAATATGATAAAGGCGTTTTGAAAGCTTTTTCACCTGTGTACATATATCGTTATTTCAAAAGGGGAGGTAGAAACAGTTGGCTCTCCCTTGGGGGCATTATGCTTAGTATAACAGGTAAGCTCTTGTTCTCTTTTTTTTTATTTAATTAACCTTTCCTTTCATTCTATCCAACCACAGAGAGTAAAAGCTCTGAAAAAAAGAGAGAATAAACCATTGAACTGGTTCTGATGACAAGTTGTGAACTATTGCAGGAACAGAGGCCCTTTTTGCTGACCTCTCCCATTTTCCAGTATTGGCTATACAGATTGCATTTACAGCAATTGTTTTTCCATGCCTTATTTTCGCTTATTCTGGCCAAGCTGCTTATCTTATGAAAAACTCAAATAATGTAGCTGAAGCATTTTATCGTTCTATTCCAGGTATGCTCTCATCTTCTCTATCTTCTGCTTAGGCATGCTTATATCCTTATTTCGATGAATGGGATGTGAAAAAGACAAAAGCAGTGGAAGTGGTTAGAATTATAACCATCAGTTAATACAGGAACTGTGGTTATTTCATATTCCAAACACTTCATTGGTGTATTACCCTGACTTCTCGAACCAAAAAAACTTTAATTCAACTGAATAAATATTATTTCATATTCAAACACTTCATTGGTGTAATACCTAACCTTTCTCGAACCAAAAAAAACTTTAATTCAAACTGAATAAAATAATAAAATATAATATAGTATATATATATATATATATATTATATATATATATTATATATATATATATATATTAATATATATATACTCATGAGGCTGAACCCTTGAATAGTCTTTTGAAATATAAAATTTCTTAACAACCTACTGAATATATACTCATGGAGGCTGCAACCTTGAATAGTCCTTTTGAAATATAAAATTTCTAAACAACCCTACTGAAGCATTAGTGATTAAATTTCCGCTACTAAAAAGAAACATAATAATTATGAAGATTCCCTTCTGTCTAAGATGTGTTTAAATTACAATTCAGATTGGGGCTATAATACGAACTACATCATTCCACCTAATAATATTATCTGGTCATCTTGCTAGGAACTTAAAGTTCAAGTGCCATTTTTGTTGTGGCAAATGGTACGACTTTAAATCCTTGTATTCCATCTTTTATTAATACATTTTAAATATCTTTTTGTTTATTTTAAAAAGTCTTTTAATTTATTTAACTATTGTGAATTCATGAAGCAAGAAAGAGAAAAATGAACTAAAATTTTGGATTATCCAGAATCCTTAGGATCAGCAGCACAACAGTCTCTTATATTTGAGATGCATATACTTGGTGTCGATTCTTATCTTTGTTCTTTTTCTCTTTATACATTGAGAATGTTTGTTACCATCCTTGCTCTGAATGATTGTTGACATGGACTTATATTATATAATATATTTCAAAATGATGATTTATAAATATTATTAAGTTTGCCCCCACTAAATGAATTTCAGATATGCCACAAGCCCATACATAAGTGGAGAAGTTATATATTTACTGCAATTATTTGGTAATTGATTTTTATGAACTATGGGATAGATATGGCAACAATTCTTGTTGGCTTCTTATTAATTATAACAAATTTTAATAATCTCCTTGTCGTTTTGTCTTCCTACCAATGTGCATCAGCTATTGGGTTCAGATGCTAATATAGCAAGTAAAACCATGGTTTTATGTTAGATTCTCTAAATATGAACTTTTAAAATTGAGCATATACAAGACACGTGAGCATCAGATATACCAGAATTGTTACCTTTCTTCTGCGTGTTGTTGATGAAAAATGAAAATTAAAGTAGTTATCAGTAGAAAGTAGCAAATGAAAGCGGTAGAAACGAGGTGTGAATTCCATATTTTGGAGAAAGATGATAATGAAGATTTTGTACTGTATTTGAGATATAAAACTTGCATTGCCAAAAGAAGTGAATCTCATGGTTTAATTTAGCGACTGTGAGAGAGATAGGAGGAGAAACCTCTTTGGAGAAGCAGTCAATTGGATCATGGGATTTTCTAGGATAGTTCAATTTTGTGAAACACATTATACATAAGACTAGTTCACAGTATCAGATGATAGTTTCGTTTCATTTATTTACAGTGCTGATGAAGTTCAGGTAATTTACAGACTTGATATGTCATATTTGAAAATCATGGTAATTTACAGACTTGATTGTGTTATTCTCTGTGTCTGGCGATTATTTTCTAATGTTGGTCTCTAATTATTCTGCAGATAGCATATATTGGCCAGTGCTTCTTGTTGCAACTGCTGCTGCTGTTGTTGCAAGTCAAGCAACTATATCTGCAACTTTTTCATTAATCAAACAGGCTCTTTCACTTGACTGTTTTCCAAGAGTTAAAATTGTGCATACATCAAAAAGGTTCCTTAGTTGGATATACATTCCAGACATAAATTGGATCCTTATGATTCTTTGTGTTTCAGTGACAGCTGGGTTTAAAAATCAAAGCCAAATTGGAAATGCATCTGGTAAGTTCAGTAATCTTTATTAAATTTTTGCGACCAGGTCCATTAGTTCTTACATTGACATATCTTTTTGTTTCATAAAGTAAAAATTTCTCTAATAACATAAATTTTCATGGCATAACAGGGACTGCTGTTGTGATTGTCATGCTGGTGACCACATTGCTTATGATTCTAATCATGCTATTAGTCTGGCGGTGCCATTGGATGCTTGTCCTGATTTTCACTATTTTGTCATTCATAGTGGAGGGCACTTATTTTTCTTCTGTACTCTGCAAGGTTAATCAAGGTGGTTGGGTTCCCCTAGTAATTGCAGCAGCATTTTTTATCATCATGTATGCATGGCACTATGGTACTCTGAAGCGCTACGAGTTTGAAATGCATAGTAAGGTTTCAATGGCATGGCTTCTTGGACTCGGTCCGAGTTTAGGACTAGTTCGTGTCCCTGGAATTGGTTTTGTGTACACCGAGCTAGCCAGAGGGGTACCCCACATCTTTTCCCACTTCATCACCAACCTACCTGCCATCCATTCTGTAGTTGTTTTTGTTTGTGTGAAGTATTTGCCTGTCTACACAGTCAGAGAAGAAGAGAGATTTCTTATAAGGCGGATAGGACCAAGGGATTTCCGAATGTTCCGTTGTGTTGCAAGATATGGATATAAAGATCTCCATAAGAAAGATGAAGAATTTGAGAAGAGACTCTTCGATCACCTTTTCACATTCGTCCGCCTGGAATCTATGATGGAAGACTGTTCAGACTCTGATGACTATAGTGTAGATGACCAGCAAACCGAGCCGTTGCAACATTGTAATCATAATGGTAATGGAGTTTCATCCAATATGAATGCAACAGTCTCATCCGGAGATTCGATCGAGACTCTTAATTCTCCGGCTAATGCAAATGCAATCAGGCCAAGTCAACCGAGCAATCTGACTGCAATCGATGAGTTGGAGTTTTTAAGCAATTGTCGAGATGCGGGAGTAGTGCATATTCTGGGGAATACAGTGGTGACAACAAGCAGGGATTCAAAGTTTTACAAGAAGATAGCCATTGATTATATATATGCTTTTCTTAGGAAGATTTGCAGGGGAAGTAGTGCAGTATTCAATGTTCCTCATGAAAATCTCTTAAATGTTGGACAAATAATTCGGGTATAATACTTTTGCAGCCATTTGGGAATGAATAACAAAAAGATGAGATCAATATATTTCGATATTAATAGTGATTTTGGTAACAGATTTTTTAACCATTTTATGAGTTTGGTTTGGGATTGAGCTTAAATTATTAAATTCCTATTTAATTAAATATAGAATGCTTAGGTGGATTTATTGATAATTGCTTGAGGAACTTATAGTGATAGGTCCTAGTCAGAACAATGAGGATTTATAAGGAAAATTCTATTTGTGCTAGAGTAACCCACAAGATATTTTTGGAATAAGCTGTCTCTTTATTCAAGAATTGATGCTTATATAGGCCAAAAAGAAATAACAACCTTCCTAATTATCTGAGATTATCTCTAAAGATCAGGAATCCTAACAAACTAGTAGTGGCAACAAAATAGCCATTATTATTTAAATAAAAATCAAAGCAACCAATTAACTAACTGGACCTATTCTTTAGCAAGTTTCTTCAAAGATTTATATAGGCCAAAAAGAAATAACAACCTTCCTAATTATCTGAGATTATCTCTAAAAGATCAGAATCCTAACAAAATAGTAGTGGCAACAAATAAGAATTATTATTTAAATAATCAAAGGCAAACCAATTAACTAACTGAAAATCAAAGCAACCAATTAACTAACTGGACCTATTCTTTAGCAAGTTTCTTCAAAGATATTTGGGATTTCTCTTAGGCACTCGATGGGATCTTCTTATCTTAACAATACCCCTCTCTTACACATGAACCTTGTCCTCAAGGTTTGGACCAGAAAACCGTTCTAGCAATTCCTGTCTTGGTTCCCAAGTTGCATCTTTTTGGGGCAGTGTGCGCCATTTCACCAAACATTCTTCCACAAATTTTGACCCTTGTTTTATCCATCTTGTCTCTAATATTGATTTTGGTTCCAACAGCACTTCGCCATCATCTGCAAATGGGGCCACCTCTATGCTAGCCTCGGTGCTTTCCTCAATCTTCCATTTGAGCAGAGAAACGTGGAAAACTGGGTGAATGTGAGACCCTTTTGGAAGTTTGAGCTTATAAGCTACTTGTCCTACTCGTTGCTCAATCTGGTAGGGTCTATAAAACCTGCTGGCAAGCTTTTGATAAGCTCTTTTGAACATAGATTGCTGGCGGTAAGGGTGAAGTTTTAAGAAGACCAAATCTCCTACTTGAAATTCGACCTCTCATCGCTTGGAATCAGCCTGCTGTTTCATTTTATTATTTGCTGCAGATAAGTTGGTCTTGAGTTGCTTTAGCAAAATATCTCGAGAGACCAATTTTTTTTCCACTTCATTTACTGGGTAATTTCCTTCTAAATACTGTGGAATTGTTGGCAGTGGTCGACCATATAAGGCTTCGAAAGGAGACATGCCTATAGATGCATGGTAAGTTGTATTATACCAAAATTCTGCCCAAGGTAGGAGTGTATACCACTTTAAAGGTTGTTGGTGACAAAAGCATCGAAGATATTGTTCAATGCAGCGATTAACAACTTCCGATTGGCCATCCGTCTGTGGGTGGTATGCTAAACTCATGTTAAGTTGTGTGTCTGACAACTTAAAGAACTCCCGCCAAAATTGACTAACAAATACCGGGTCACGGTCACTGATGATAGACTTTGGCATTCCATACAACTTTACAATTCCCTCAACAAATTTTTCAGATACTATTTTGGCTGTATACGGGTGAGATAACGGTCACTGATGATAGACTTTGGCATTCCATACAACTTTACAATTCCCTCAACAAATTTTTCAGATACTATTTTGGCTGTATACGGGTGAGATAACGCCAAGAAGTGGGCTGACTTGCTCAACCTGTCGACCACAACGAAAATAGTATTTTTACCATTGGAAGGGGGAAGACCCTCTATGAAGTCCATGGTGATATCATCCCAGACTTGGCATGGAATAGGCAACAGTTGAAGGAGACTTGGAGGGGACAAGGTTTCTGATTTGACTCGTTGGCAAACATCACAGGAAGCAACATATTCTTTGATAGTTCGGAACATCGAAGGCCAATAGAATTGCTGAGTCAGCCTTTTGAATGTTCTCAACACACCGGAGTGACCACCCAAAGGAGAGTCATGAAACTCTCTTAATAATTGTTGGATGACTTATGAATTTGGAGGGACGACGACTCGGTTTTTGTAGCAAATAAGTCCGTTACGCCAAAGGTAAGGCTGCCCTTGATTATCGGTGGCTTGGCGGCTGATTTTCTGCATATATGGATGATCACGAGCTTCTTCTTTGATTGTATCCCACAATGGAGTTTGAGAAACAAAACAAATAAAGCATAAGGGCTTGGGCTTTGCCACTGATTTTCTGCATATATGGATGATCACGAGCTTCTTCTTTGATTGTATCCCACAATGGAGTTTGAGAAACAAATAAAGCATAAAGGCTTGGGCTGCCAACCACCCTGGATAAGGCATCAGCTGCATTGTTCTCTGAACCAGGTTTGTATAAGATCTCATAATCATAACCCAGCAATTTGGAAATCCAATTTTGTTGCCCCAGAGTTGTGATGCGCTGCTCCAATAAATATTTGAGGCTTCGTTGATCAGTTGTGATGAAGAATTTCTGCCCTATAAGATATGGCCTCCACGGTTGAATTGCTGTAATAATGGCCAACATTTCCTTCGCATAAATTGACCATTGTTGTTTCTTGGTGCCCAGTGAGCGGCTCATGAAAGCAATCGGTCTCCCGTTTTGAGTTAGGACTGCTCCAATCCCTTCTCCAGAGGCGTCAGATTCAATGATGAATGGTTCATTGAAGTTTGGCATGGCCAAGGTGGACGTTGTTGTCATAGCCTCCTTAAGAGATTGAAAGGCATTCTCAGCTTCGTCAGTCCATTGAAATTGCCCCTTTTTTAGCAGATTGGCGATAGGGCGAGCAATGATTGCATAACTGCGGACAAACTTGCGATAATGACCTGTAAGGCCTAAAAATCCACGCAATTTAGAAACATTAGTAGGCCTGGGCCATTGAAGCATAATTTTAATTTTTTTTATCCACCTTCACGCCTATTGGGGTGACAATATGGCCCAAATATTCTAGTTCTTGCTGACCAAAGGCACATTTGCTGATTTTGATAAAGAATTGGTGATGCCGTAATATTTCTAAAGCCATATTAACATGTTCAAGATGCATGGTCCAATTGGGGCTATAAATTAAAATGTCGTAAAAAAAAAAAAAGTAAGAATTTACGTAAGTAAGGGCGAAATATGGAATTCATAATTGCTTGGAAGGTTGATGGAGCATTACAAAGGCCGAAGGGCATTACGAGATATTCATACTGACCATTATGAGTTCGAAATGCAGTTTTATGGATGTCTGAAGAATGAACTCGTACCTGTGAAAGCCTGTCCGAAGGTCAAGTTTGGTAAAGAAATGAGCCCCATGGAGTTCATCAAGCATATCATCGATTGTTGGAATTGGGAATCAGTCTTTAATGGTTGCAGCATTTAAAGCTCTATAATCGGTGCAAAAACGCCATGTTCCATCCTTTTTTTTAACAAGCAAAACAGGGGAAGAAAATGGACTAGTGCTAGGTCTGATTAGCCCCAATTTTAACATGTCATGAACTTGTTTTTCGATTTCAGCTTTTTGGAAATAGGCATACTTGTATGGTCGAACATTGATTGGCTTAATCCCTTCCTTCAAATTGATATGGTGCTCAATCTCTCGTGGAGGAGGAAGCTGCGTGGGGTCTTGGAACAAATCATAAAATTTGGTCAGTAATTTTAGCATCTTGAGATGGCTTTCTTGTGAACCCAATTGATCCTTGGTACAAAGACATACTGCAAACATCGAACCCCCATGCCTTGCTGCCTTTGAAATTGCATTTGCGGATAATGGTTGTATAGCTAGTGCATTGATTCCTTGTAAGGTGACAGTTTGGTTGCCCCATTGAAATTCCATGGTTAATTGTTTCCAATTGCAAGACACCATGCCCAGCTATTCTAACCAGTGCACTCCTAGCACCAAGTCCAGTCCAATAAGTGGTAAGGCGTAAAGAGTGAGGGAAAAAATTATACCTTGGAGTTGAACCGGAACTTTTTCAAATCTCCCTTCGTAGCGTAAAGGACTGCCATTCGCCACATTGACATCAAATGGTTTAGTGGGAACTACAGGTAGCTGTAACAAGCTAGCCACCTTCTCGTTGATGAATTTGTGTGTTGATCCACTATCAATTAGTACCACCATTTTAGTTTGCCCAATTTTGCTGTGATTCGCATAGTTCGGGGAGCAGACCAACCTAAAAGTGCATGTAGGGATATCTCCAACTGTGAATCACAATCATGTTTGACTACCTCCTCGCTAGAAATTTCAGTGTTGACATCACTCTCCAATAATAATAATTGTGCCCTATGATATCGGTGCCCTGGTGTAAACTTCTCATCGCAGTTAAAGCATAGGCCTGTCATTCTTCTTTTTTGCATTTCCTCCCAAGTGAGTCTTTTGATTGGTGCAGCCTTAGTTTTTGTTGGAGAAGAGACATCAGTTGTTGGGCGATCGATTGGCCGAGTGAATCTTCGTTGCCGATTCGCTTGATCATCTCTCATTCTTGCTAGGCTGATTGCTTCCTTGAGTGTCTTTGGTTTGAACATCCCTATTCCATTTGTGATTTTTGCTCTTAGACCACCCATAAACGTTCCCACCAAGGCCTTCTGGGTCCATCCTTGAACACGATTGCCGAGACATTCGAATTCTTTTTGATATTCACGGAGCGTTCCCGTTTGTCTTATTTTTGATAAAGCCTCATCAAAATCCTTGCAATCAGTGGGGCCGAAACGAGACCATAATTCTCCCACAAATATGCTCCACGTTACCTCCTTCCTTTCTTCAAGAGAGGCCCTACGCAGCCACTGCCACCATTGGTTTGCTTCTCCTTCTAAATGAAAGGATGCCGACGCTACCTTTTGAGTTTCAGGAGTGCACTGATATTCAAAGAACTGATCGACACGAGTGAACCATTCAGTTAGATCGTGACTAGAATACTTAGGAAATTCTAGTTTAGCGAGCTTGGAAGAGAACATGGGTTGTCCTGCTTCCGTGTTTTCCCTATAGCGTCTGTTAGAGGATTGGCCTGTTTGATCAGTTACATTACTGCTTGGAGTGTTGGTGAGCAAGACACTAGAAAGTTTGTTGATGGCAACTTCAGGCTGCTGCAGCTTATCGTTGACACCCAGCTCCATTTTGCTCAAGTTGTCTTGGAGTCCACCGATGCTGACTTCTAAATTCTCGATTCTTTCTTTATTCGTAGTCATGCTCTAATACCAGTGATAGGTCCCAGTCAGAACAATGAGGATTTATAAGGAAAATTCTATCTATGCTAGAATAACCCACAAGATATTTTTGGAATAAGCTGTCTCTTTATTCAAGAACTGATGCTTATATAGGCCAAAAAGAAATAACAACCTTCCTAATTATCTGAGATTATCTGTACAGATCAGGAATCCTAACAAACTAGTAGTGGCAACAAAATAGCCATTATTATTTAAATAAAAATCAAAGCAACCAATTAACTAACTGGACCTATTCTTCCGAATATAAAGCCTATAAATTTATTATATATAATAAGAGAGAAAATACAAAGCAGGCACGGCACCATCAGGAATCCTAACAAACTAGTAGTGGCAACAAAATAGCCATTATTATTTAAATAAAAATCAAAGCAACCAATTAACTAACTGGACCTATTCTTCAGCAAGTTTCTTCAAAGATATTTGTGATTTCTCTTAGGCACTCGATGGGATCTTCTTATCTTAACATATAAATATAGAATGCTCAACCAAATTCTTGAATACATTTAATCACACAAAATTAACTTTCCACGAGCCAATCAATTTATTTATTCAAAAGCATTGTCTTTATTTTTCTCAAGTTTTATTTATTTACATTTCCCGTAACTACAGGTTATATTTCAATACAATCAATCAAATTCTCTTTATTTTACGAACAATCAAAGATTTCTTTTACATTTATTTATTCAAATTACATTTAATCACCAAAGTTAGTGAAGTGTATATAATCAAGAAGTCAGATTAATTTATAATTGGTGTAGAACACACACATGCTGCGCTCGCAAAATTTCAAATCAAACTCTTTACTAGCTCCACAAGGTTGTTTGCTCGAGCCAACGGCCATGAATTGAATGATTTATAATTCTGCAGCGATAATTTTAATTGTGTAAACAATTGAGGAAAGAGAAATATAAAGTTTGTTAAAAGCTCAAACATCCTTTGAATTACGTAAGGGCTGATGCATTCAATAAAGAGATCTATCGCCGGGACTTAAATTGTTAGCATTTACATTCCTTGATAATTGGTCATTGCCATCCCTAAACAATCAATCTAAATTAATATAAATCGATCCAAAATTACGATTAAAAATTACTGGTTTGGTCTAGTTTATAAAATTTAAAACCCGAGCTTTTCATTGGATTAATAATTTTAAGATTAAAATCGCTCAAACCGTATAGGTATAGATACACAGATACGTGAGCTTTGAAATGATAAATTGAATTTTAAATGATAAATAATTCAATGAAAATTTCATTTGAATAACCTAGCTTATACGGAATAGTAACTACACCATATATAATTTCACATCATTTAGGTAAATTACAATTTTTTTTTTGAAAGCTCAAATGCTTAAAGTTATTCATGGAAAATATATTAATACACATTATCTAGAAATGATACTATAGTTTATATATATAATACTATAGTTTATATATTCTCTATTAGTAATATATAGACCTATTATATATATATTAGTATATATTTTTATACTTTATATATTATTATATATATATTTCTAATTATTAAAATATAGAAATAAATCAATATTAATTTCATATCATATATTGCTTAATCAATTGACTTATTGAATAATTAAAAAAAATTAAAAATTAATATAAATTTAAAATTTAGATAAATATATTTTTCTCAATTTAATGTTAGAATAAAAAAAGAAGGGGTTAAAATTAATTTCTTTTCCGTATATTATAAAGCACAGAATATTGAATATTCCATTAAAACCACTAAAACCAAACCAAACAACAATTAAAATTTGCTATTGAATAATTAAAAAATAAAATTAATATAAATTTAAAAATTAAATAAATATATTTTTCAATTTTAATGTTAAGATAAAAAGAAGGGGTAAAATTAATTTCTTTTCCGTATATATAAAGCACAGAATATTGTATTCCATTAAAACCACTAAAACCAAACCAAACCAAAATAAAATGCATCTATAAGTTTGATTTAGTTTGAATTTTTTATAAACCTCCATCATAGGTTTAGTTTGGATGAAGCCTCAAACTGAACCAAGTCGAACCATGAACACTCCTAATACACAGAACTGTTATGATTTCTCGTCATGGGAAACCTATTTGCTTGTTTAATGGCTGAAAAATTGAAGGAGAATTCTTAAAACAAGAAAGTTAGAGAAAGGAACGAAATCCAAAGAAGAAAGAAAGTTAGTGGGAAGAAAAAAAAAATATCTATAATTTTTTTTATCACAATTTCACAATTTATACTTTTATAACTCAGGTATTTATTGCTTCCGTGAATATATGGTTTACACATCAGCATTATAATTTACAAAAAATACTTGTTTATTTCCGTGTATAAGCTTACCCATACATCAAAGCAATATCTAATTATCACCCAAGAAAAACTATCACAATTTATTACTACCCCTGTATTCTATTTAGATGTAGAAGATTTTCTTTTTGGGTATTCTATTTATATTGAGAAATTTACTTAATTTTGTAACTTTAGGAAGCATGCTAAAGCAAATAGTCTATATTGCCCATGTGTGGCTTCTAAGTAAGAGTGGAATAATCATAAGGTAGTAGCAGACAAAAAATTGGATAGTCATTTAATACACTTATATAATCGGACAACATCTATTTGTAATTTCAATCCCCTCTTGATTAGTAAACGTGCATTTTTTTGCAGTATGAGCACTGACATGATTGGGATAGCAATTTCAAATGGCTATAAAAATTTATATTTATTTATAATTTTAGGAATCGTCATAGTCAGTTTTAAAAATATTTGGCATAGTTGTACACTAATTTTAACATGTTTTTAATTTTTAAAGCAGTTTGCTACGTAAATGAGTATGATCCACTCATACATGCACGACTAGTTGAGGGCGAAACAATATTTCCTTCCAAATGACGGTGCTTGACCTTGTTATTTTGCACCTATTTGTTTTCCACTTTCTCAAAAGAAGTGGTTGATGAATAACAGCAGTTACTCTAAACCAAACACTCACACCTCCACGATTCTTGCTCCCTTCTTAAATGGTCAAATCGGGATCTTTTATTGACGTTGGTTTGTGACTGTAAAATGGCCCTTAGAATGAAGAACACAATCAATCATTCAATCCAAAGAAAAATGGTGAAAAATAAAGAACTAATGAAATTAGCAAATCCAAATCAACCAAAAGTATCCGTAAATCGAAGAAGCATCATTCTGATTATGAAGAAGAGCCTTCATATATGCGAATTGACCCAGAAAGAAGTTCAAAAACCCTTGCTAAGAAGAAAATTATGCCCAAAAGTAAATTGGTGCTGTTTACCAAAATCCACCGTATGAGAAGCATAAACAAATTCCTGAAGAGGTTGAATCAACAGAAGAAGAGGAGGGCAATCTAGGTCCAAAACTGAAAAATGAAGAGAGCAGTGAACATTATATTGGAAGAGGTGAGTTCATTAATCCTTCTAAGAAAGAGATTATGACTAAGTAGTGGTGTGTGAAAAAATATTATCTAAGAAGAAAATTGAGTTTGATGAATTCAAGAGTGTGGGATTAGACTTAGAAAAATATTTTAATTTTAGGATAAAGCACTTTATACATTTAGGCAATGATGCTTATCCTAGATTGGTTAGGCATTTTTATGTAAATATGTGGGTGAAAAAGAAAAAAAAGATAAAGATTAAGAAAATATTACTCTACTGTTTATGGTTTAAGGATTAGACCTTAATGAATTTGTGGTTCATAGGATAGCTAGGATATCTATAATTGGTTGTGACTCACTTTTGAAAAATTATGCAATCCTTAAAGGATTGAATCTCAAAGCTTTTGAGAAAAAGTGAAATAGTAGAGGACTATACAAGTAGAGAACTAGCTGGTACTAGGATGAAAGCAGTTCTTAGGCTTTTGCATTTGATAGTTTATTCAAACATACTGCCAAAACAAGAAGGAAAGATAATATCACTTGTGATGAGACTCTAATTTTGACTCATCCTTTGTGTTGCACCAAAATTTTATAGACCAACTTTATAGAAATAGAAAATTAGTCTGCAACTTATTGAATATTGCATACATTTGTCACACTCTTATAATGTCAGCAAATAATATTTTATGAACAAAATTTTTAACTTCTTAAGTAATATTTTTCTTTTGTTTCCTTTTTTTGCTGTAAACAATATTAGAGGGTTGTATGATTGAATTATCCATAGAAGCCAGCTTTTCCTTAGTGGTTAAAGAGTTCAGATCTAAGGGTACATTGGTGTATATAGACACATCTTCTTCAATTGCAAACGAATGTGCAAGGACAATGTTGAAATCAAAGTGCATTGATGGATTCATCTTAGTCATTAGATATAGGATTGAATTATGACTCTTCTTCATTTATATGAGGTCGTTTTATAGAAGTTGAGGTGACTCTTTGTTCTTTTAAAAATTTTGGCTCCAAATTTGTTAAGATAGTGCCCAAAATTTTTTCAAAGTGTAAGAAGAGTTTTTACTAAAATTCAAAATTTTATGCTAATCTCGTTTTTCAATTAGTTTTAAATTTTCAACTTCAATTGTTCTTTCCTTAATTAATACCTAATTCCCTCCATTAATAATAACTGAAAATTCAATGCATCTCTCTTCTCTCTCATGCACTAGTAGGCTTATATAAAACCTAAGTAGGAGTTAATGGTGTTTTAAGGGTAAATTAAAAAAGAAAAGGAGAAAAATTATATTTAAACTACTTACTTAAGCCTTATGACTATTAAGTTTTCTCTATCTAAATAGAACGAGGGCGTATTTTATTTGTGAGAATATCATTTTATCCTTGTATTTTTTCAAATTTTGCCCCTGTATTTGTAGAAATATGTAATTTTATTTTTGTCTTTTGCGTCCATTAGCAATTATATGCTTTTGTTAATTTTTTTGCACTTTTTCGTTTATATATAGAGACAAGTTAGTTAATTTTAGTAAAATATGAGGACAAAGTAGTTAATAAAAACATTAAAATTGAGGCAAAAAATTGAGACATTTTAACATATCTAAAACCACATGCGTAATTTTCAAGTGAACTAGTTAGGTTACAAACTAGGCATCTAGAGCTTTCCAAGGACATGATTTATCAAATATGGCTAAGAGACAAAATTGAAAGGTTGCTTTGAAATTACTGCATAAAAACTGAAATAAACTAACGACTCAACCTAATTTAGGAGCTTCTATTCAGGTAGCTTAACCTGAGTTTTCCCCAAGTTAGTCCCTCTAAAACACTTCAAATACTTTTTCATTCATAACACAACTTTCCATATTACAAATCACGCATCTAACATGAAATGAACACATTTGTAACCAGCCAAACATAACAATATACATATTAGTATCCTCACTAAATAATTCCCCCAATTAATATAACTCAAAATAATACTAATTCAGATCCATCAAATCAAACTCATTTTGCTAATATAAATACTTGTCTT